TCGGTTTTGGGTTTCAAAATACTGATGTTACCCAATTAACAATGAGCAGAAAATCAAATTTTTTGCATTTCAAAGAGCGAATAGAGTCAAAGATATTCTCTGGTCCAATCTCTCAAATCATATATAGAAGTCCCATTTTTTTTTAAAACAGTCAGGTCAAGTATTTTCAACAGAATATACAGGACGATAACGATGTTCAACACGTGTTTGATAGTCATGAACACTCTGGGTTTGACTATATCGAGTTGTATCTATTACTCTGTCAGACTCAACAATCCCAAATATTTGGTGAATCTTAGTTAATAGATCATTCACAGTCATTGGAACAATATGAAGTTGATGCAGTTGACGAGGAGGAAGAAGAACATGAGGCCATGGTTGATCAAATGGTGAATTTGTTTAGGACTGGGGACTACACTGCAATAACTCCACTTGAAGACATAGATGAAGAGGCATTACCATTAAGTCATATCTATTGTCCTCCCCAACATATGACTAACTTGCAATTGAATGGAGACGAGTCATCCTTAGATTTGTTCTACAATCCTTCTCAACAAATCGAAGGTGTCTTGAAAGTGGGGAATCAGTACCGCACAAAAGCAGAGTGCATGAAAGCTATAATAAAGTTTCACATGGATAACTTTGTTGATTTTGAAGTAAACCACAATGACTCAAAATGCTATGTCGTAGTTTGTCGTAACGAACTTTGCAAGTTTTGGTTAGCAGCGTCCTATCGGAAGAGAAGTGATTGTTGGGAGATAGATTTGATGGATCCACCTCATAGTTTCACAGCCAACATCAATCGGCAAGATCATGGTAAACTAAGCTCCCAATTAATATGCCAAGATATTTTGCATCTTGTGGGCGTAGATCCATCTGTGAAGGTGAGCATAATTATCTCTCATGTTGTTGCACGGTTCAACTATACCCTATCGTATAGGAAAGCTTGGATTGCAAGAATAAAAGTGGTTGAACATGTATATGGGGAATTGGGAAAAATCTTATAATCAACTTCCACAATATTTTCTAGCACTTCAAAAATATGTTACTGGTACAATTATAATATTTGAGTCACTTCCAGCATACACTCCTGAAGGAACATGTGTTGATGGAAGTAGGATATTCTCTCGTCTCTTTTGGGCATTTCAACCGGTTATCAAGTCGATGAAATATGGTTGTATGGAAAATACAAAGGAACATTGTTGATGGCGGTTGCACAAGACAGAAATAATAATATATTTTTTATTGTCTTTTCTCTGGTCAAAGTTGAGACAGGTGAAGCTTGGAGTTTCTTCCTCAGAAATCTCAGAACACATGTCGCTCCTCAACCCAACTTATGTATGATTTCTGACAGACATGCCTCTATTGTGAGCGCTTACAACAATCCTGCTAATAGTTGGCATAATCCTCCTTCTGTCCATGTCTACTACATAAGACACATTGCTCAGAATTTTATGCAGGAAATCAAAGACAGAAATCTCCGTAAAAAAGTTGTGAACGCTGGGTATGCCTTAAACCAACCATCGTTCATGTATTACCGCAAAGAAGTAAGATTGTCAAACGCGGAAGCATTAAGCTGGGTGGATAGCATTCCAGTCGAGAAATGGACAAGTACTTTTGATGGAGGATGTCGATGGGGTCACATGACCACAAACCTTGTGGAATCCCTAAGCGGCGTATTTAAGAGAACTAGAAACCTCCTCATTACTGTGTTGGTAAGAGCAACTTATTAAAGATTGGGGTCACTTTTTGTGGCAAGAGGCAAAAAATGGAGCGCTATTTTGAAATCAGGGCAATTATTCAGCAAAACATGTATGAAATATATGAAGGATGAAACTGTTAAGGCGGTCTCACATCGAGTTAGAGCATTTGATTGTCACGATTACAGCTTCATTGTTGACGAGACAAAGGATCACAATGAGGGTCGGCCAATGGGATACTACATGGTGGAAATTCATAAAAATTGATGCGATTACGGAAAGTTTCAAACCTTCTGCATGCCTTGTTCACATGTCATTGCGGCATGTTTCAGTGTTCATCAGGATTCATTCTTGCAACTATCAGAAGTTTACAAGGTCGTGAACTTACTCGGTATCTACAATAATAGTTTCCAGTGGTAGCTAGTGGGGACTATTGGCTAACCTATCATGGGGACACAATTTACCACAACAAAAATATGAGAAGAAACAAAAAGGGTTGCCCCAAAAGCACGCGAATTAGAACTGAAATGGATACAACTGAGAAAATGGAAAGATTGTGTGTGGAATATGTCGTCTTTCCGGACATACGAGGTAACATTGTCCAAATGTTAGAACAAGTTCTAAATAGAATTACTTTGGTCATTAAAAAATGTGTAACCTTGGAATTTAATATTTATAGCAAATTTTGTTTACCACAGAACAAATTGAAATACTTCTAAAGTAACAACGCAAATCATTAAAAATATAAGAATTATTACAACATAAACTAAGATATAACAACAATCAAAGTAATATCGTCAGTTCCAAACATCATAGACCTAACTTCGTTGTCATCTTTAATTCGCACTCACTCACATCGTATATTTCCATATGCAATCGAGAAGTACGAAACCAGCGATTCAAATTTCTTTGTAGTTGCTCTAAACTTTGGAGGTTCCAAAACAACATCTTTATCGGAGGCTTATTTCTTGAGAAAATGACATGCTCATATCTTCTAAGATACATGATTCACTCTGCTAAATTTGTAAGAAACAATGGTAATTTAAGTGTGAAAGATATACAAGCCTCGTCTATTTATACAAGAAATTTTTTAAATAAAATAATAATAAATATTATAAACATATATAATATATGATTTATTAATAATTAAATAAATTATATCGAAATAAGGGGACTTCAAAGCAAATGGCGCTCCTCCTAATCATTTAAGGGTGACTCTATAGGGGACGGCGCTCCTTGTATTTTATAAGGATGACTCCATAGGGAATAGCGCCCCTTTGTAATTATAATGGTGACTCCAAAGCCAACGGCGCCTCCTTTATATGCTTTTTTTTTTTTTTTAAACATTAGTAAATTGAAAAATAGATTGAAAAGATGGATAATTTAAAAAATAATATAAGAAAAATTAGTTATATGAGTAAAAAATTCGAACAATTCACTTATAATAACTTTCACTTCAGAGTTTTTTTGTCTTAATAATTTCAAAAGCTCTTGACATCCTGAAAATTCGAAGATAATTGTGGGTCAATAAACATTAGTTTACTAAAGGGTCTGTTTGCAAACAAAGGAAATAAGCCTTACTATGCTCCTCTACTCATAAAACATTAATATAAAAAATTCTTAGCCTCTATGATAATCGAAAACCGGAACAAGCAAAATGTAAAATAATCAGGAGCATAATAAAGTGAGTCTAGGCAATAAATTATATAATGTTTAGTAACGCAAGAAAATAATAATAATAAATAAAAACGTCAATCGATTTAAAGTATGATTAGTGAATTTACTTGATTGAGTACTGAAAATCTTAACTTTATGGTTTCAACATGATTAGTGAATTTACTTGATTGAGTACTGAAAATCTTAACTTGTATGGTAGTTGAAACCTGATACAGAAAAGAAATTTAAAAAAAATCAAGATATAATACATATACAATCTGATAAAAAGAATTAGAAATCAGAATTGAAACATGGAAATGGAACGCTGATACAAACAGAAACAATGATGTGGAGAGAAATGATGGGAAATCGAGAAGCAGAATGGAATGATGTGAGAAAAAGAAGAAAAGAAAATTTATAATGGTTGTGTTTCCAATAGAACTATGTACAAAAAAAATATAAAAAATATAAGTTTTGATTTGAGTCTGATTTGATCATTATATTACTACCAATTAATGCAAGTATAGAAAAGTTAGTAGGAAAAAAATTGCACATAGTTCCATTTTGTATTTTTCATTTAGTTTGATTGGAAAAATAAATATTTTGAGACAAAATATGAAAACTTAATCCCCATTGCACAAAACCAAAGTAAATATTTAGAGACAAGATAGAACAACTTAGTTCCAAAATAAACAAATGGTGGCAATAGGGGCAAGAGAAAGTTTTCCATTACAATTAATTTTCTTATATTATATAGTTTAGATTATTAAAAAAAAAAAAAAAAAACATTGTTTTGCTAACCAATGATGGTGTCACGTTACAAACAAAGTAGTTAAATTACAACAACCGAAACAATCCCAAAAGTCATCCATACTAATTACCATGATTTCATATTTCAATACAATGCTTCCTCTATATTTGAAGCATTTATCCAGCATGTTACCATCTTTTGCTTTGTCTATGGCACAACTCATCAAAGAATATGCTAGAGTAAATAGATATACAAAGGAAAGATCATAACAATCTGAGATAAATCAAGAAATAGTTTAACAAACTAACTAGACAATCATAGCAAATTATTCAGTTTCATAAAAATTAAAGAAAAATTCCACTAAACATAACATTTTTTTAAATTGAAGTCAGACTCCCACTTGCAGCTTAAATGTCATCCAGCTAAACTTGCTTCTATTCCAAATTTTATGTTCACAGATCAACCAATTGTAGTTGTTACAAGAAGGATTTTATGTTCACAGATCAACCTCAGAAACCATATCCAACACAAACAATACCTTACATGTATTAATTAGATCAAACCCAGTGTTTTAAACATCGCAGGCACAGCAGATATTGCCTTATTCTTGGATACAGCTCAAAGATATTCTTTAATCTTTACAATAGGAGTAGCTGCAACATATATTAAAACATTTTTGTAAAGAATCAATTGATCATATAAATTTTTCCTATATTTAACTCCCACCACAATCAGATGGTAGTATCTTTCTAAATAGCCGAATACTAGTATGTTGTTAACTTATCAACCCAAATGTAATTCCTTCCATCAACTGAAGGCAAAACTCAAAGAACATAAGTAGTAACATTGAAGCAAAAAAATGGCTGGAGTTTGGACTCAAGAATAACTTAGTTTTAGGCTTTAATCCTGGAAGACTCTCCCACAACGATCTCCATTCTTGTGTACCACTCACCAATACGTGTGTGCTCCACCATATCCTTACCAGACCTCAAATAGCGTATGGGCCTTAGAACCCCAAAAACAGCCAGATCGGCGAAGTTAGGCTTAGACCCTCCTGAAAAGACAGAATAGTATATCATGTCCAAAGAGCACAAAGTGATTATTCATTAATCATTACAATCACTCAGAAAATTGAAGTAAACTTAAACAACCATGTGAAACGTTTTTCCAGGTGATACTGATCACACTATCTGTAGGGTATTTCTAATTTTTAATGGTTAGGAGCATGTTCTTAATTATGATTATTATTTTAAGGTAATATTATAAGTTCCATCCGAGACAATCAAACAAATTAGGAAATACAAATGGAAACATCATGATCAATATTTTGACCTGCAAAGGATACATGAGCCCATAATTTATGCTCCTGTTTTGCTTGGAAAAAATTAGAGTAGGCAAAACAGGCCGGGCTGAAAATCCTGCAAAAGCATAGGACTTAGACAAGAAAATGAAGGCTTGTTTATTATCCGAGTTTTTAAACCCGGCCCGTTGAAACCCAAAGACTAACCGGGTTTAGAGATAATGAAATAATTCTAAAAAACATTTGGACTGTCCAGTTTTTAAAGCCCAATATTAAATAACTCACCATCGTAAGTCTCCAACCCTCTCTGTCTATGTTTTTGTGCCCGTCCTTCTGTGTGTTTTTTACCTCTGTGAATGTCACTAAACTCTAAACCTGAATTATCTGAAATCCCTAAATTGTGATTATTTGTTTTGGAGTGATGAGGGTAAGAACATTCAGCTTTATTGATGTTCCAGGTGTTAGGGACTTTGTGTATGCTTTATTGCTAACTTGAACATATGTAGTGTGCCTAGTACCATTCAATTATGCAGTACCATTATAATCTGTTGTCTGAATATATGTTATAAAAATTGCCTCCGTACGTATTACTGTATGGTCGATGACAACATCTCATCAAATAGTTTCATGCCAAAATATTATCATTTAAAGATAAATAGTGAGACAGCCAAATTATAGTTGGATGGAAGGGGTAACTCAACTGACTAGAACTGGTTGAACTAATGGTTAAAGGAGTTGGAGGCCCAGGGGTACAAGCTCCGCCAAAGGTGTAAGTATAATACCAATAATTAACTACTAACAATTTGTTATTACAAGCAAAATTATAGTTCATTATGGGAATAGTTTCATGCCAAAATATTATTATTAATGTAAAGAAAACAAATGTTAAATATAAGTCAGGGCTGGCCCAAAAAACCGTAGCCCATAAAGAGCTGTGCTCAGACAGCCAAATTATAGCTCATTTGTCTTCCGAGCTTTTTTGGTCCGGCTCACAAAAGGCCTGAACCTGTCGCGGGGTGGGTAGGCTGTTTTTGCCAGCTCTAGAAATAACAAGACAGTTACATAAAAATATCAAATATTTCAGGCTTCAGAGTCAGAAGTCTGGGCAGGCACAATATGGATGCATGCTCTTGCATATATTTATAAATTATAATAGTCTTCATTGTGATGTACATACCAAGGAACTCGCGGCCATTCAGAGCATCTACCCATGTTTCTGCTGACTCATAAAGAGCAGCACGCTCATCAGTAATGTTATATTTCTTCTTTAGCTTCTTCGACACAAAATACATAGCTGCAGCACCAGCATACTTCACCGAAATTTTTTCCATGAAGCTAAAATTGCCTAAGCAGCAATGAAAACGTAATACATCATCAATTTATCACACATTATCCATGTTTGAAGAAATATAGCATAGCCAAAGAAGAAGTTCAAATACCGAAAAATCAAATTAAGTAAAGTCAGCATTTGTAAGCATAGGGCTGAAAGCAAAAAAGACAATATGCAATAACACGTGGGCATATATCCCTGAATTTGCATAAGGGGAAAAAATGAATTTGCCCAAGAATATAAGGAGAAATAGCATAAATTTCATTACTCTTGTAAATGCCTGAAACTGGGTTATTGTACTCCAAAACATAGTCACACGGTTCGTAATTCGTTTTGGTACGTGGTACAAATTCAGGCACGCGGTTCACAATTTTCTAAGAATTAGGTACATGAGGGGTATGCATAGCCGGTACGGTATTTGGGTTCGTGGTACGTTTAAATATAATAATCGGTACGTTATTATTAAAAAAATTGTTTACTTATAATGAAAATTGATTGGGAGAAAGACTTCATAGTCCCACATCGACTACTTTATTAACATTGCTTTGAAAAATCAGTTATAAATACCTAATGTATACTTACCACTCTTATATCAGCTAACCAAAGTTTTAGTTTTAATTGGTAATGGTCATCAATATTCACTTTTATCAAAGTGATACAGACATTATCATAATTAAAAAAATAGTTACAATTTTTTTTTATTTCTAGTTTATTTGACAATTATTGTCTCATTTAAATTTGAAATTTGTATTTGGTTCTTGGGTACTCATTTTACACGAATTCCACATGAATTCGTGCGAACCACTTCGCAAAAGTACTGCAAACCGATACGCACGAACCAATTCGCAGTTCATGGGGGGTACCTGCGAATTATATGCTCCAGAAAGAAAGAAAATTTGTTCATCTTATCTACCAACTAAGGATATAGTTCCAAGGGAATGCACGCTTATTGAGATATCAAAGACAACTTCGTGTAACAGAAAATTTAGCAGAGAGAAACATGACAGACTATCGTTCAGCAAAACAAAAACCATAATAATACTTATAAGTAACTATAGAAAAGACCAGTACAACTTACCATTGCTCGTAATATAGTCAAAGGACTCGAGAGCTTCAGAAGTATTTCTATATATATTAGGCGACAGAACGTGTACCAAATGATTATCAACCCACCTACATCAAAAGAGTTAAATTAACTAGTGTGGTGTATAATTATGTTAAGCTACAACAAAACTCAATCATTTCCCCAAGGTTGTTTCTGTCCGAGTTTCCTGTAACAAGTTTAAAGTTTAGGTACAGCAACTCAAATTGCTCGTATTGATATGTCTTGCAATCCAAGCCAAGTGCCAAATTGATTGAAAATTCAATTCTAAACTTTAAACATTGGGTGCTAAATTTAGCATCTAAGTGAAAATTACTGCTCTGAAATCAAACTTCCATATCATATAAAGAAAGCTAGAATCAACAGGATTGGGCAGAAAAAGAGGAGTAACTTATTTTATACTATTCTGACACAAGAGATACCTGGTGATAATATGCTTGTTAGCACAGAAGTACACTGCATTTCTATGATATTCTACATGTAAAAAAATAAATGAACTATAGCATAATCATCACTGAAAATCAAATAAAGTTTTCCAATCCTAAAACACATGATTCAAGGAAAGAGAGAACAAAAGACGGAAGAAAGCTTTCTCTGAACAACACACAACATCTCCACAGTATATGGTTCCAATCAAAGTGTGAAAACAGCTTATAAGGGTCTCTGCACATCACCCTTTTATGTTTATTAAAAACATGTTTATTTGAAAAATAAAACAGGACCAAGAGAAATAGAATCATACCGCCGCCATTTTGTCTCTTCATCGTCCTCAGAGGTTGAATCTGCCTTTTTCTTAGATAGAATCCTCTCTCCGAGCTTGTCAATTATAGCTGTGCCAAAGAAACCAATATTAGTGAGAAGTTACAGTAGGTCTCACATAGTGGCCATACGTCCATTTGCTATTTAGAAAACTTCACAATCAATTTTCAAGGGAAAATGTGGAAAACCTGACGAGTCATTTAGCTGCTCGCCATCTACCATTATAATCGGCACCTTCTGATACTCAGACCATTTGATTTCTTTCTTGCTAAGAGGGTTGACCTCCACAACCTTGTAAGGTATATCATAGTAGTCCAAAAATGCTGGTAAAGTAAATAATTTTTTCAGCCACCAAAGATAGAAAATACAGTGAAAGCCCAATGAAAAAACTACAGTAATAAAAGAAAAATATGTATAGCTGAACATCTGGCAACATGCCAAGATGACACATTGACCGGCAAACAAAATAAGGTTAAAAAATGGGGAAAAATATGAACTCGCATGGAAGTATAATTTAACTCCGTACCAATGTATCCTACCAACTTTCTCTGGCAAGTATTACATATAATCAACAGATGTAGTCATTGTTCTGTATCTAGAACTCGGCCATCTGGCTGCTACAGTGACCAGTCTAAATCCCAGTTTTCCAACAGAAGCCTGGCTAATCAAGGCACGTGCAGATTAACTAAATGACTGTTCAAAACTATATATTAACCATGCAACCAAGTTACATAGAAAGTTTCTCAGTCCTCACTGATTGGTTATATAAAAACTTCAACCCTAACATCAGCATTCAAGATTCATCTCCATTATGATCCACTCCCTAACAACTTCAATCCTTTGATCATTCACAATTGTGAGACTCTCATTCTAACACATCTATTAAGTTCATACTGAACACTCATTTTCATGTTTAACTTATTATTCTACGCCACGCTAATGATACATCTTTCCAATTGAGCAAAACTAAATAAACATCAAATCAATTCAATAATCTGAATAAAAAATATAGTAACAATAAATAAACGATTGCAATTTCAACGCACGAATCTGAACATAAGGAAGAGAAATCGGTATTTTCACCTTTCACTTTGTTGCAGAAAGGACAGGCCTCGTACTGATAAAGAACGACGTCCTTAGGAAGAGCATCTGAAGGAGGACGTTCCTTAGCTAGTACTTCCTGAGAGGCAGACGAAGCCGCGATCAGACCGCCGACACCGAGAGACGTCCCGGCGACGGCGGCGAGGATGGAAGAGAACCAACGCCGGCTAGATGGAGACGCACCGGCGGTGGTACCGTAAAGAGTGGTCTGGAGAAAACGGTTAGGGACGGCGATGGAGGTGGCGCCGCCGAGGCGAGCGGCGGCGAGGTTTCTGTGAAGTAAAACAGAGTAAGCTCTTCTCATAGTGTTTGTGTGAGATTCAGAACCACACAGATCTGAATTTCAATTTTATTTTATTTCTCTTTGTGATCGATAAAACTTAGAAGGGTTTATTGGGTCGATTAGAGGGTTTTAGGTGTCCTTTCTAGATACGCATAATAGAAATGGTCACGTATAATATTTTTTAAAATAACTAATTTTTCAAACAATTTTTTAAAATACTTTAATTTCAAAAAAAGAATTATTGAAGGGTGGCGTTATTTGGGTTGGCGACCTCTTTAAAAGATAACGAGGAAGCGTATTTGAGTTGGAGTCACGTTTATGCATTAGAAAAGGACGTCATTTAAGTTGGAATCACATTTAAACGATTATTTTTAATAGTATTTAATAAATAACATATTAAATAATAATAATTAAATAATAAACAATTTTATTTAATAATAAATTGAATACATAGGCAAAACACTGTACATTAATTTCTACGACTAGGTTGAGCGAAATGTTTGCCAGTACCGCATCCTCGAGTATGTATGTTTTTCGGTGGTCTTTGTGGTGACGTCAGGTCCACAGGAGGTGTTTGACAGGAAACTTGTGCCGATGGTTGTGTTGGGTCTTCTTCAAGAAATTCGATCATTTGAGCCCATGAAGATGAGTCGATCTCAATAAAGTCATCCAGATTAAAAAAGTTGTTCATGCCATCATAATTTTGTTGGAGTGGTTGGCTCGACGAGGCTATGTCAAGACGATGGTCGGCTTGGTCGTAAGGTGACATTGGTATAAATGTTTGGGTGGGTAAGATTTGATTGGATGTTTGATATTCCATGTTAAATTGGTTTTTAGTATCATAGGAGTATGATTGGTATGGTGTTGGGTTTTGCTGGTACTGGGACTGGGAATAACTCTGTTGGAATGGGGTGGATTGGTAAGGGGTATACTCATGGAGTTGTAGTTATGTGAGTAGGGGGTTGGGTTGGCCGTTGGGTTAGGGGTTGGGTCGGCGGTTGGGTTCGTGATGATGAAGCTTGTTGGTGTAGGTCAACCAAATATCTAGGATGAGAAATAAAATCAATGGTAACCGATCTATACCATTTCATGTATTTGATAGATAGTTTTCTCTCGAATGGCATCACAGTGTTGGACAAGACGAAATGGTGGCGATGCTTCTATTCACGACACTCATGTTTTGCAAAGTGGGTCCAATGGGGATAGTCTCATTGGTCGGAGACTTTACTTATGTGGTATTTGTCGGCGATGCATTTTGGTGGACATGGAATATCTTGTACCATTCCAAACTGAAGCTTGACACGGCCACTGTTGTGCATTTCCACTGTGGTTGAGTTTATAATCGGTATCTTCGCACTCAACACAGTAGAGTCGTGTTCGTTAACTTTGTGAATGGCTTCTAGACCAAGATATGACCGTCAAATAAACTGTAGGCGAAAAAAATAATATTTAGTATATGTAAATAATATGTTAATATTAAAGGTGACTATATTCTAAATAGGTAGGTCAGTGACGGTACATCATCTTGACCCAAATGATCCAGAAGATTTCAGTACTAGGTGATGTTGTAATGGGGACAGTTGTCATAATTCATCGCAAGTGCAGACCACATAAAAATCGAAAAAGAAATATTTGTTAATAATAGGATAAATTAAATAAGAGAATAATTTGTTTTCAAATAATTGGTGCAGAAATTACCTTGTAGCGTATGGAAATCCAAAGTTGTTGGGGTTGATAGGCGTTAGATTGGTCATCCTTGACCAACCCCAAGCTTGAAGAAGAACAACACATCCAGTAAAATTAGACGAATTTGTTGTTGCATTATTACACAAAGACCTATATAGGTGTGATAGTGTGACGGACCTCCAACTATATGTTTTTATTTTATCTATGTCCTCTAATAAAGGTAAATACATTGGATGAACAACGTTACCACTTGCATTCAGATATAAAAATAAACCTATTAGTAACATGGTATAAATTCTAGTTTTTCTTTTTTTTTTTCAATATTTTTGGAGAGTCTACGGTTAACCTTATTGCTCTATAAATTTTTTTGAGCCATGATAGTAATAGTTTTTTACCCTTCAAATCTCTTGGGGTCATGGCGACCCCTAAAAGTTCTTATGTCACACTAGTGTTAAGATTGGTGAGACCATTTACCACTTTATCATTAATAGGTAAACCCAATAACATGTAAGTATCTTCGAGAGTAACAATACATTCACCTGTTGGAAGATGAAATGTATGTGTCTCAAGTCGCCACCTTTCTTGAAGCGCTAGAATGAACTTTGTATCCACTGAATAATTTTGGCTTTTTATTAGTTCTCCAAATCTTGCGCGCTCTAGATATGGTAAAATTAACTCGTCATGTGGGACATATTTATGCCCACGAGTTCGGAAGTCATGAGGATTCTAAGAAAAAAGAAATAGTTAACTCTAGCATTGTAAAATAAAAATCGTTACAACAATGTGACATTATACTTACATAAGAATCGATGTTGTTTGGTGTTCCTCTATACTCCTCTCCCAATGTTAACAGAGACATTTTTCTACACAAAATAACAATGTGATTATAATAAGAAAGTATTTGTTGGAGAGGATAGATGAATTTTACAATGAAGTCTACTATGTATTTATAGTAAAAGAATTGAATTATGGTAGATGGTTAGCACAATCCTGCTATTGTGAGCGCTTACAATAATCCTGCTAATGGTTGGCACAATCCTCCTTTTGTCTATGTCTACTGCATAAGACACATTGCTCAAAATTTTATGCGGGAAATCAAAGACAGAAATCTTCGTAAAAAAGTTGTGGACGCAAGGTATGCCTTAAACCAACCATCATTCATGTATTACCGCGAAGAAATAAGATTGTCAAATGTGGAAGCATTAAGCTGGGTGGATAGCATTTCAGTGGAGAAATGGATAAGGGCATTTGATGAAGGATGTCGATGGGGTCACATGACCACAAACCTTGTGGAATCCCTAACCAGCATATTTAAGGGTGTTAGAACACAGATTGGTTCTTAATAATATCTCTATGTTTTTATGATAACTATTAGGAAATTTTGTATTTAAGAATTATATACTCTAAAATTTTCTTGAGAGTTTTTACTGCAGATAGTAATGAAATTAACACTCCAGAAGCAAATCTGAATTATATACAAGAAATTAACTAGAATCTGAAGCGCCAGATGCACTAATTAGAAGATTCTGATTGCTGCCAATAGAAGATCCTGAGCGTAACCTCCAGAAGAATCTGAAGCAAGAAGCTCCAGAAGATTCTGAAGTAGAAGCTCCAAAAGGATCTGAAGCAAGTCAGAAGCATCTGAAGCAAAGAAGAATATTGTATGAAGAGTTTTTCAAAGCATAGTTTCTACAGAAGATTCTGAAAGTACTAAAGCTTCCAGTACTGAAGTTCTGTTTCAAATATGCTCTGATATTCAACACGCTGAAAGCACACTTGCTGCAGAAGACTCTGATCCAGCAAAGTTCTGATTATCATTAGAAGACTCTGACCCAATCAGACTCTGATGAACTTGCTGAAAACTGAAGAAGAAATATTCAAAGATTATATCCGTTGGAGTAAATCAAACGTCTCTTTCCTCATTTATGCTAGACACAAGAACACAGACAAAAAGGATTTTTCTGTGTTTTCTTCTTCTAGGAAAGGTCACTTGATGTGAAGACAAAAAGGCTCAGACCTTTTTGGACACTCTTCTCAACGTGCAGCTCACCTTGGATCAGCTGCCTATAAAAGCAAGACTCCACCAAATTCTTCAGTGAGACATCTTGCTGAAAAAGAATTAAAACATTCAAGCTCTCATACTCTCATATTTATTCTTAGAATTAATTTCATTGTACTTAAAACTTAAGAGAAATATCACTGTTGTGATTAAATCTTTTTAGAAGCATTATTACTCTTGTATTAGATTTACATTGATTGTAAAGGATTTCCTTAAGAGGATTCAGTTGGAATCAGTAGCTCTTGAGAAGACTAAGAACAGTTGTTCTTAGGTGTTACTATTGTAATCTGTTTGATTAAATAGTGGATTAAGTCCTTGTTAGAGAAAGGCAAATCACTCTAGGAAGGGTGGACTGGAGTAGTTGAGTTCAACGAACCAGGATAAAAATAATTGTGTTTTAATTCTAAGTTTTAATCTTTCATACTTATTCAACCCCCCTTCTAAGTATTATCTCACCTTCAGTTGGTATCAGAGCTCCGGTTCTGTGTGTGCTACCACTTAACAGTGACAGTAAAGATCCAGAGAGAAATACTTTGATATATATTTATTTGTTACAATGGCTGATAATACAATATCCAACATTAACAATAAATATGAAGAAAGGGACAGAATCAGCACCAAACCCCCTATGTTTGATGGGGAGAAATTTGATTACTGGAAAGATAGAATCGAAAGTTTTTTCCTTGGATATGATGCTGATTTATGGGATCTAGTCATAGATGGATATGTTCATCCCACAGATGGGAATGGCAAGAAGATAGATAGAAAATCTATGACAGATGCTCAGAAGAAAGATTTTAGAAATCATCACAAGGCCAGAACAATATTATTGAATGCAATTTCCTATACTGAGTATGAAAAAATACAAATAGATAAACTGCTTTTGATATGTTTGAATCCTTAAAGATGACTCATGAGGGAAACTCTCAAGTCAAGGAAACAAAGGCTCTGGCTCTGATCCAGAAGTATGAGGCCTTCAAGATGGAAGACTCTGAATCTGTTGAAGCTATGTTCTCCAGATTCCAGATCCTCACAGCTGGGCTAAAGGTTCTGGACAAGGGATATTCTACATCAGATCATGTAAAGAAAATCATCAGAAGTCTACCTACCAGATGGAGACCAATGGTGACTGCCTTGAAGATGGCTAAAGATTTGAACAAAATCTCTTTAGAAGAACTCATCAGCTCACTGAGGAGCCATAAAATTGAACTTGAGGAAGATGAACCTCAGAAGAAAGAAAAAGGTAAATTTGTTGCTTTAAAATCTAATAAATCTG